GACTTCAGGATAGGAGCAGACACTGTGGAAAAAGTGACCATCAGGGTCACGTAGAGAATTATAATCCAGGCTGGGTGGATCAGCTATGATAGGAAGCTACTAAATAACTAGTGTGGGTTAGTGACCTCTTCAAATACTCAGCGTTAATGACTGCTCTTAGGGTTTTCTGAATTTTCTCTGAACTTAGGGAAAACAAGGAATCTTATGTAGGCTTTTGTTGTTATATAGGGGAAAATATGATGAGGGCAGCACCAGCCATGGAGGCCGGGAGAGCAGAGAGAAGCTGATGGCTTGGGGGAATCCTAGACATGCATTTAATCAACACAGGATGAGACAGACAAGGAAAAATTGGCGATACGATCAAATCCCAAGTTTGTGTCTCAGTTTACCAAATGAATACCAGCACTGTCAGCCGACACAAAAAGAAGGGGCACTGAGGCAAGCTGAGGTATTCCTGGTGGAAATTCAGGCAGAAGCAGGAGGTACAGCCATGGGAATAAGGAAGTGGTCTGGGATGAACACCTGAGACAGACATCAAGAGAGCTGCAGGGATGTGAAGAGAGAGAGAGCTGCAGGGATGTGAAGAGAGAGAGAGCTGCAGGGATGTGAAGAGCAAGCCTGTGGGATGAGAGGAGACAGGTGGGGACAGCGAAAGCAAGCAAGCAGCTTGCTTTCCATGGTGCAAAAAGGAAGGAAGGAAGGGAAGAGGGAGGGAGGGAGGGAGGAGGGAAGGAAGGAAGGGAAGAGGGAGGGAGGGAGGAAGCCTTTCTTCTTGCATATGAGCTTACTCCTTTGTTCTCTTTATTCTTTGTTCATTTCTCTAGCTTTTTAGCAGGGATGGGGTGGGGTGGGAGAGCTTCTTTAGGTCTTGTCTTTTCTAAGCTAATTTTGCACCTAGACTTGCATAACTAAGCAATACTATGGCTTCAGATAGAAGATTCTGTTCCCACACATCTGCAGAAGTGATAACTAACAGTGCTGCACAGTTTAGGAGATTGCTCTAACACTCTATTGGATCTGCGATAATCCTCATGCTGAGTAATGTCTGAACACAGTAAGAAAATGTTTAAATGGTTCTTTTCCTCCTTTGGGTTACAGTTTGTAATTCATATGACCATTTTGTTAGTGATTTTGATAATGATGCTATCATATCAAGAATCCCTGTGTACAACTCATGGTTTTCATAGCGCCTTATGCTTTTTTACAATTGTTGACACAGACTTTAAAATGTTGACTCCTGCTTGTTAACTAATACTAAAATAAAAACTTAAGTAATAAATTGAGATTTTTGCTCATTTTTTAAAAATAAAATCATTAATATCCCCACACAGCTATTGAAGGAAATAGTGGGAAATTTTACCTGTAAATACTTTCCGCTAAGAATCTGGAAACATGCACCAAAGGGTTGGAATAATGTTCTTGTTCACTGTAAAGATTTATCACTCATATTGGTTTAATAAAATGCTGATTGGCCAGTAGCCATACAGGAAGTATAGGAGGGGCTGCTAGACTAGCAGTATTTATCCTTAGTACAGGAATGAACTTTGGAAGCCCACTCCACAGAGAGGGATACTCTGTCAGCCTAGACAAATAGGGGAGGGCCTAGGTCCTGCTCCAAATGATATGACAGACTTTTAAGATCTCCCATTAAAGGCCTCACCCTACCTAAGGAGCAGAAAGGGGATGGAATAGGATGTTAGTGGGGAGCAGGGAAGGAGGGGAGGTGGGATTGACTTGTAAAACAAGCTTATTTCTAATTTAAATTAAAGAAAGAAAATAAACATTGGAAAATGGGCACAGAAGATGAAGAATGACTAGTTCCTTCACATAGTAACTCTGATGTCAGCCATCACAGGGCCAGAGTCAAGGATTTGACTCAGGATACAACTCAAGGGGGAAATGCAAGTACTAAAATTAACCTATAAATCCCACTTGCCCAATGACAGATAAGTGTCTGGAATGCTGGGGGACAAGGGATCTTGTGAGATATCAAATAAGGTATTTTTACCTCACTAAACAAAGTTGGTTGCCTCAACTACACAGGATGTAGGAATCACAGTAGATGGTTGGAGGCAGCCAGGAATTACCATAGCTTTTTGGGGGGTTGGTTTTATGAGAACCTTGCTGACTGACCTAAACTCAGAGCCATGTCTCTGGAAATTCTGGGTATGGAGCTGGCCAGACTCCATTTTCCTGGCAAGTATAAAATAAAGTCTGCTTTAATTGGATAATTGTAGAACTGGTCTTTCTCCTTGTGATTCTCAGGTTTAATAAGAGACCAACAACTAGTGTTAGATACCCTGAGACTGGAGTTACAGGTGATTGTGAGCCATCATATGGGTTCTGTGAACCAAACTCAGGTCCTCTATAAGAGCAACAAGGACTCTTAAGTGCCTAGCGATCTTCTCCAACCCATCATGTTTAAATTTTTACAAATGAATTAAATGCTTGTTATCATTACTGCTGTTCACAAATATGAATTTTTTAAAGATAGACTGTTTCTATGAAGCCCACACTGGCCTCCAATCCACAGCCCTCCTTCCTCAGTTTCCCAAGGGCTGGGATGACAGGCTTGTGTCACTTTTCCTGGCTATGTTAACACATGTGGATTTGAAATAAGTCTTTGTTTTTAGCTTATTATTACCTGTGAGATGAGTTTCTGTCTGTGGAGAAGCACCACTTCCATTATTTGCCCTTGCTTCTGGCAAAAGGGACATGCGTCTTTCTATTGATATGTGTGTGTGTGTGTGTGTGTGTGTGTGTGTGTGTGTGTGTCACAGCAGTCTCCTGATTCTACTTATCTCTCCCTTTACTCTAAATTCCCAGATTGTTCCAGGTCACAGGCTCCCCTCCACGAACCCTGTAGCTGCTGACTCCCTTTTACTATGACTATTCTTCTCTCTGATCCTGAGAAATGACCCAAGCTGTCACTAGTCTGCCCAGCTCCTTTTTGCCCCTGAGAGGTAGCCGTAGCTGCTTTGGACTTCTCCACATGTTTCTGGCTATTTTCTCTTCCATATTTACAATAAACCTATCTTTTAATGTGCCCATGGAGTAGACTCATTTCAGTGGTTTCACTGTGCCCTTGCTTATAGCTTGTTTATTTGCAAGCCAGAATTGTTGAAAACAGACAAGTGTGGAAACTGGTCAAAACAGCATTCCCTGGCAAATGGTGTGTGACAGCCTGAACAATAGAGTTAAATGGGGCCTGAGTGTGTGACTCGACGGTAGAATGCTTTCCCTGGAGTACACAAGTCACTGGGTTTAATTCTCAGCACTGAAAGAGTAAAAGCAGTTAAAGAGACAAATAGGAAGAATGTCAAATGGAGACAAACAAATGAAATAAGGTTCGGGGTCAGAGATTCTGTAAGAGAAGTGAATAAAGCTTAGTGTGATGTAAGTAGAGGCTTGGAAGTAGGGGGACAATGAGACAAAGCCACAGAATGAGGGGGCTAGAAAAACAAAGTCCCTAGGTGATAAACAGAAGGCAGCATAGTCTGATGTGAAGTTTAGAGTAGCCGTACTGAGAATGGGTATCATGGTATGTCGCAGAGTCATCCAATACTGAAAATGGATTTGACAAACAAAATATAAGTGAACAAAAAAGGCTGTCCTTGAAACCCAGGACAATTAACTGGGTGTAAAGATAATGCAGATAAATCAAAAGCAATCCAATTTGTAAGACTTAAACGAAGCTTTGAATATGGAGGGAGAGAGGAGGGAAAGTCATGGCAGACTCCAAGATCTCAGCTTAACTAGGACAGGCAGGCTTCCCAAATCTACTGGGCCAGCAACAACTATAGTAACATGGAAGATTGACAGCCCTCAAGATACCATACAGAGATGTCCATTGGACAATCATTTATTAAGGCCGAGTTTGTAAATGAGGGTTTGGAGATAATAAATTGATGACATTATGGAGGGGATGAGTTCAGTCGTCAGTTGTGTATATTAACAGATTCAGGCAAAACTCAGAAGAATCTCTGTACCTAGGAGAGCAGAGGAGAGAACCCACAAAGGAAGGGTTACAATGGCAGACGTGTGCCATAGACCCCAGGCTGATGTTTCAAGATGAAAAGATTGGCTAATACCAAGAAGAGCTGTTAAGAGCTCCAAAAATCTAGAGAGACATCATTATACTTACCTGGAAGTCAGCCACTGGTGGCATGATGAAAACATTTTACTGAAGCAGGTAAAGTCGAAATCAGAGGTAGGAAGTAGAAAACACAGGCATTGAAAAAAATTTCAGGAAGTTTTTCTCAAAAAAGGTGGAAAAAACTGAAAAGAAGCCAGAAGCCACATGTGGTTTCAGGAATGTTTCCTTGTAGTTCCAGCAGGCTTGGTCATGATAAAAAAGAGAGTGAGAAAAGATATAGAAGGAAAAAAAGAAGAGGTCCTTTTCTGAAAACTTTAAAAGACTGAAATTCAGACTACAGATTATGAGATTTGAGTTAGGAGAGAGAGATAGAGCTAGAGCTAGAGAGAGAGAGAGAGAAAGAGAGAGAGAGAGAAAGAGAGAGAGAGAGAAAGAGAGAGAGAGAGAGAGAGAGAGAGAGAGAGAGAGAGAGAGAGAGAGAGAGAGAGAGAGACGGCTTTATTCACAGTAAGCCCAGGAAGAGCAAAAAGCATCTAGCTGCACATACTAAGTGGTAAAAAAGTTCCAGAAATCATCTAATGCGCTCCTTTATTCTTGGAGTAAAAGATGGGCAGATTGGAGAAAGGTTTTCTCTTAAGTAGCAGCTGTCAAGAATGATGATGAGATCTTGTATCAGTGACGGGGTGACCTTGGGGCTCAGCTGATACTGGTTAGGTATTCACATTTGTAGACACATATTTACACGTTATTAGACAGAGGCAGGAGGATATCTGAATTCGAGAACAGCCTGGTCTACACGAGTTCCAGAACAGCCAGGGTTACATAGTGAGACCTTCTCTGGGGAAAAAATCAAAGTCTCCATAGTATCTGATTCTTTTCTAGTAAGGGACATGGCTATGATCATTCAAACTCTGTCCTCTATAGACACATCTTGACAAATCCAGTGATTGTCGATGAAACACCTTTCAGAGAAAATGCCCTTCCTTGTTATCAGGGCACAGGCATTGTCTTCAAGCTGGCCTGTAACTTGAAATCTGCAGAGGCAAAGGCCACATGTTAGTGACCCTCAAGAGGGCTTGGCTCCACTCCAGATACCCACCCTCTGTCATGGTCTATATGTTTTTTGTGTTTTCCTTCTTCTCTGAGGTAGAGCCTTCACATATTACAATGTTCAGACAGGGAATGGGCTTTTCAAAACCAGAGCCAGGTAGCTTGGAGTGTTGAACAGCAAAACAGAAGTAATAAGAGAGATCCTGCCTCAACACAGGAGAAACAACTCCTAATGGTTGTCCTGTCACATGGTCACTGTGGCATGAATGTGTGTGCCCCCCACACGTAAATATATATTTTGCAAATAAAAAGCAGATGGAATTCTGAACCTTTTTATCTTTCAGACCCAAGTCTCAAATGTCACAGATTCTAAACACCTTCCCTCATTGAGATGAAGAAGAAAATCCTTGATTCTAATAATAATAATAACTAAAACATCCCTATTCTTTGGTATGTTATGACCATGCTAAAGATAGAAATACCAACTGTGGTCAGAGCTGAGGACAGAGTTAAGTGAAGAACTTTGACCACACCTTTGTTCCACAGTGTTCAGACCAATCTTTTCTGTCTTAGATCAACAAATGACAACACAGTTTCATGACCGTGGTAGCTAATCTTGACTGTCAACTTGGCGCATCTGGCAAGGGGGAACCTCAACTGGAGAGCTTCCTCCAGCAGAATGCCCAATGGCCCTGTTCCTGGATTATTTTCCGACTGCTAATTGATGGAGGAGTTCCTCGACCAATGTGAGTGGTGTCATCCCTGGGGAGGTGATCCTGGGGTATATAAGAAAGGTACCTGAGTAAGTCATGGAGAGCAAGCCAGTAAGTGAATTTCCTCCATGGCCTCTACTTCAGTTCCTTCCTCCAAATTCCTTCCCTGCTTGATTGAACTCCTCCCTCGACTTCTCTCTCTGATGGATTTGGTCAAAAGTGTAAGCCAAATAAACCCTTTCCTCCCCACGTTACTTTTAGTCATAACATCTACTGCTGCAAGAGAATGCAAACTAGGATATGTTGGTTGTAATTTTCCATTTCTAACTTCTAAATTGGATGGAGATGTAAATAGGACCATACATTATTTTAGTAGCCTCTGGTTCTCTAAGACAGACTCTATGAACCTTGATATATTAACAGGTATCAAACTCTTCCATCCTACAATCTCCTGACCACTTAAAGCTCCTGAGAGCTACCATAAGGAGTGGTCTATGGAGGTCTCCCATGTGTCCGGTGGTATACAAACACCAAACACTTACAGCTTTGGGTGTAATGGTGTGCCATCCAGCCAGGTCCATGTTTTCTGTGTGTATGTAACATTCAGTCCAATCCAAAAGTAAACACCATCATGTATTTTACTCTGTATGAAGTCCTGAGAAAAGAGAGCTAGAAGAAGTCATCTGGATGTCAGCTACAAATAGATGCTTCCGCCTTCTTCTGTCCAAACCTAAAAAGATTCTGATGCTCATATTTCCATCCAGGAATGCTGTAAGAAGTCTTCCCTATAGTGAGGAAAAGAAACCGTGTGGGGAGGTTTATCAACTGTGTGACTTTCATATACATTCTGTTTGATGGAACTGTGGAGGATACAAATAGCAGACTAAGAAAGGGTACAGAGGAGACCAAAGCTAGAAGAATAAGACGTCTTGAGGACAGATGTGCAGACTTTGAATGAGTGCATAGACAGGTGAATCAAGACTAAACATCTGTCCTAACTAAAACATCTTCCTAATTACCAAGATTCTAGACATACTGCTGTGAACTGGCAATGTTTTATATTCTATTTATTTGGTTATAAGTTTTTGAGTCAGGGTCCAGGTTAGCCTCAAAGTCACCTATCTCAATCCTCCTGCTCAGTTCAGTGAGCTTGGAGTACTCACAGGGAATGTTTTGATGTGTCCTTCGAACTCCTCTTTTCCTCCATACAGGAACTCAATATTGATAGTCAATTATCCTAAGATCCCGACTTACCTGTAGAGAAACATAGCCCCTGCATAAATTGTATAATACCCCCTGTAGCTATAGGGAAAATTCTGTCTCACAAGTTTCATCTTAGAGCTAATTAAGATGATAGTGCATAGTGCCTACCACGTAATTGTCATTTAACAAATGACAGTAATTAACAGTGAAATAATTATGTTATCATGGAATATACTCACATCTCCCAGTTTCATGAAGTTAGTTCTTACCAATTCTGCTTTGTCTTGGATCACTAAGAGATGTGATTTCTTTACTGCACAGGATATTTCACTATCAATCCATGACTTAAAGTTTATGTAAAATTTGTAACATTTCCCTTGTTTCTGGAACCAGTCATTGGGGCATGACTTTCCTATAAGGAAAAAAAAAGAAAACAACATGGAAAGAAATAGGAACAAGTAAGAAGTTTTAAGACCAGAAGAAATTGTCTCATTGATTTTAAGCTTTAAAAGTTAACAAAAAAAAGTTGGGTATGCAAAAGTGTCTCAGTGGTTAAGAGCACTGGCCTCTTTTGCAGAGGACCCAGATACAATACCCACTACCTATGTGGCAGCTGTAACTCCAGTTCCAAGAATCTAATGACCTTTTCTGGGCTGTGTGGGCACTGCACATACATGGTGCACAGACATGTAGGCTTAAGACTCACACATATAAGATAAGAATACAGACTTTTTTAAAAAGTAGAACACTGCCTCACTTTTAGGGAACCAACTCCCTTCTCACTTTCCAGTAATGAACAGTCCTTAAAAGAGGCAAATGCTAACACATTCAAAGTCATATTTATTGAATAACTACCATATGTAAAGTATTTTCCTAAATTCTGAAAGCATGTGAATGTATGAAATATTTTCCTTACCAAAAAAAACTTAAGACAGGTATAAAGGTATTAACTTCATATTCCTCGTTGTGTAAATAAAGACAGTAAAGTTAAACTTAATGAAAATACAGAGAAACTGAACTTTAAATAACTGACTCTGGGTCATACGACTGATTAGTGGTGGGTGGAATGAAAATTAAAGCAGCAGTCACACATCCAAGCAGACTGCGGAAGAGACCAATGGTGGCCTCAGAGGCACACAAGGGGAAATCCTCCACAACTCATGCTCTCTGTCTTAAAACCAGCTGTTCTAAAGCAGGGACCAGAGAATGAAGTGCATCCTCTACCATTATCAAGATCTTACAGATTCACCTGAAGAAATCTTTATTTACTCTGTGTGTGTGTGTGTGTGCACGAGTGTGCATGCATGCATGTGTGTGCTTGAATGAGCGAACACTACACAGCCCAAATATGGAGGAATCAGTTCTCTTTTTCACCATGTGGGTCCCAGGAACGGAGCTCAGACTGTCAGGAGAGATGACTGGTGCCTTGCCTGCTGAGCCATGTGGCCAGCCAGAAAGAACAATTTTTAAAAGTAGAATTAATTAAAAATATTTTTAATCTCTTCACAATAGATAATCACAGACTTGGTGGTTTTGAAGTAATGATCTAAGAGACACATGGGCTCCAAATGAAAAGTGCTGTGTTGTGTGACATTTTGTTTGTGTTCTGAAAAATAAAGCTTGCTTCAAGTCAGAGGGCGTAGCCAGCCACTGGTTAACCATATACGTTTGGAAGACTGTAGACATAGAGACAGAAAGGGATAAGGTGGGTGGAGAGAGGATCTTGGCCTGTTTAGAGGGAGGAACAGAAGAGATAAGAAGGCACTGGTGGCTTCTCGGCTTCTCTGATCATTCAGGTTTTTACCCTGATACCTGACTCCTGATTCTTTTTATTGGTAAAGAATAGTTAGATAAATGCTTCAGTGCTGTTGAAGCAGTTATTTTCAAAATTCTCTTTCAATACAGAAACTTCTTCATACACTGCAAGAACATTATAAAATAATTTAGCCTTAGGCCACTAGATTTAACTCCTTGAAAAGGAAGAATATGGGTATTAAAATAAACCAATATTCAGAAATAAGTATATATGTTTTAACTGAAATAATTATTTATGCTTTAAGCTAAGTTGCAGTTATGTAAAATTGTACTTTACTAAAATTTTAGTTATTTGTATCCAAGTAGTGAATATTTTTAAATGTTCACAAATATTTTAAAAACTTGATACATATCAAAGAGTATTAATGTGAAAATAGAATCTATCACAAATTTTTGAAAATAAACGCTACCCAAAAGCTAGCTATTGAGACTGGGAAGTTTTTCCTAAAGAAATGCAGAAATGTATTTGTTTGTCTTGTTTTTGTTTTTGAGGCAAGATCTCCCTGTGTACTTCAGGCTGATATAGGACATTGGATAATCCTCCTGCCTCAGCCTCTTGAGTGTTAAAGAAATCTGTAACTGTCATAAAAGGCTTTGGGGTGGGACAGTAACATGTCTCAGTGGGTAAGGGTTCCTGCCACCAAGCCTTCCAATCTGAAAGAACAAAACAAAGAAAAAACCAACAATTCCCACAGGTTGTATTTGGTCCTCCAAAAGTGCATCTTGTTACATACATCCACATACATGCGCACACATACACACACACACACACACACACACACACACACACAATTTCTTTTAAATTAAGATAAAAATAAGGGATTTATCCCTTCCCTGACTCAGGAATCTAGGTGAGGAAGTTGGTGAGCTAGCCTCTTTTTTTGTTAGCTCCCATGTGCATTCCAATAACTTTTCTTTCATGCATTTGTCTTTTATCAGCTTAATTTGCTTGGCCCCAAAAGTAAAGGCTGAAATGATAGGGGAAAATATTCCCCTTCCTAAAATGCAGTTACATAAATCACTTACCTGTGGAGGTTTTGTCCTGTTGTTTCCCGGGAGGAATATCCATACAGTCACAGCATCTGGTTCCATTATTACCAAGTATCCCCTCATTAAGCTTATCAGTTAAGGAATACCTGCTCAGATGACTTACTGAGAAGTAAAAAATTGCAATACTAATTATATTTCTACAATACAAGCCTGCACCCCTTTGTTTTAATAAAATTGCTGCTGGATACACAAACTGCTCTTCAAAAAGGGGTTCTGGTCAATAATATCTCCACATTTTACTTTTACAAAGGAAATGGGAATTTAGAGATGAGGAGGTTTCTTCTTACCAAGAGATGCAAAATAATATTATCTAAATCAAACTAAAATAGACAAAATTTTTCTTTATCCACATTAAAGATTAAGAAAGTTAAATTTCCTTTATAGTTATTAAAATTTTCTAATGTGGTGGACTGGAATTTTTGTGAGCTTAAGCTGGTCATAAGATCATTATACCACTTAGTACCATCTTATTTACCAAAAGGTAAGTAATTGACACACTCCAGGATTCTATGGAGACTTAAACATACTGTAAATCAGTCATTTATCACAATCCCTAACAAGTCATCCTGTAAATCAGTCATTTATCACAATTCCTAACAAGCTATACTGTATCACAATTCCTAACAAGCCATCCTGTAAATTAGTCATTTATCACAGTTCCTAACAAGCAGGATCTGCCAATGGAGTGACAGCAAACTCAACTGTATATTTTAATTTGTGTGCTCTTGACTTTAGCCATAGACCTTAAATTTAATTTGGACCTAACTTTTTAACCAGCTGTTAAGTTTTGTTCCAAGATTCAAAACATCTAATTTTGTAATATACCTAAAGAATAAGGTCAACTTTCATAAAGTTTGAGTTCTCTCACCAAAATCTACAACTTCATCTCCTACAAGAATTATGACCAAATTCACATACTTGACAATTAGTTAAAATTAAGGCAGGATGGATTTTCAAAATGACATATGCATAGAGCATCATGAGTGATGACAGTGGGATTGTTTCATGTCAGCAGAAGTTAAATAGTGTCAGAAAACAGCATAGGATAACGTGCTGTGTGATCCTGACACTGGAGAAAGCCCAGGAAACTCCTCAGGAAATACTCTAGTCTCCATATCTGGGTAGTTCACTTTGAACGCACTCACCATGGATGGCTAGTCCTATCACTGTGGCCACCAAGAAAACCAGTGCAAGGCTGGCCAGTCTCAGAGCTGTCGGATGCCATCTTGGACATTCAGGGTAATCTGCAATGATGAAATGTCCTTCTATAACATTAAAAAATGTAAAATGTACTTGTAAACATGGCATAATATAAACTGCTGAGAGTACACACGGTCTTAAGACAAGAAAGAACCTATCATCTTTTAAGTGTAATGACTCATATCGCTAAAGCTAGCATTCAGGAAGTTCAGGCAAGAGCATTGCCAAGTGTTCATAGCCAGCCTGGGATAACATAGTGAGACTATCTCAAGCAAACATACTACAACAAAGAAGTCCTCACCCAAGATTATCCGAGATGAAAAATTGGATTTATTGTGTCTAAGAGATAAACATACTTGTTTTACACTCATTAAATAGTCTTCTTATGTTGATGGGGGAAGTCCTTCTGTATGCTATGAATATATGTTTCACTTATTAGTTTCTCAAAATGCTGATTGTCCAGGAGCCAGGCAGGAAGTATAGGCGGGTCTACCAGATAAGGATAATTCTGGGAAGAACAAAGGGAGGTGCCACCAGACAGAGACGCCACATAGATACCAGAAGACAGGACACACCTGGCATTCTGTGGTAAGATAATGCCATGTATAAATACATAGATTAATAGTTATGGGCTAAAAACTAAGAGACAACTAGCCAATAAAAAGCCTGAGCCATGAACCAAACAGTTTATATAATTAATATAAGTCCCTGTGTGTGTATTTGGGGCTAAACAGCTTTGGGACCAGGTGGGACAGAACCTCCGTCTACATTATGTTGGCAATGTCTTTCTAAAATCACCTTACACAGTAAAGTAAGTTATTTCGCTTTTGTTTGCACAACGACTGAGTTACTCAGGTAATATCATAAAGAATTGAGCTCCAGGAAGAAACATACAAGTAATGCCATGTAATTGGGTGAAAGTAAAACAAAACAAAAACTAATTGTCTGATGAGATACATGAACAAAACTAGTTTTTTTTCCAGTTTAAATTTAGATAAGAAACAAGGTTGCTTCACAAGTCAGTTCCAGGTCCCTCTCCCATTCCCTCCCCTCCTCCCGTGTCCTCCCCCCAACCCCCCCCCCGTTATCCCCCTCATTCCCCCAGGGAGGGTGAGGCCCTCCATGGGGGTGTCCATAGTCTGTCATTTCATATAGGGCAGGGCCTAGACCCTTCCCCAAGAGTTCAGGGTGAGAGTGCACCTCACATTGTTCTATGGGAGTCCAAAGTCCGTGTGTATACTTGGGATGGGTACTGATCTGCTGCCCAAGGCTCAATAGATTACCTAGGCCTCCTCACTGACACCCAGATTCAGGGGGTCTTGATCAGTCCCATGCTGGATTCCCAGGCTGATGCCTGAGATTCAAGAGCTAACCCTTGTCAGGTCAGCTGATTCTGGGGGTTAAACCAGTCCAGTCTTAATCCCTTTGATCATCAGTCCTCCCTCTCTGTTACTGGCTTTCTTGAGTTCAGCTCAATACTTAACCGAGGGAGTCTGCCTCTTCTTCGATCAGCCACTAAATGATGTTTCTGTTTCCCAGACTCTTTGACCATGAGATTGTAGGCTGGCCCTCCCCAGATCTATGTCTAAAATCCATATATGAGAGAGTACATGCCATGTTTCTCTTTTTGTGACTGGGTTACCTCACTCAGGATGGTTTCTTCTAGTGTCATCCATTTGCCTGCAAATCTCATGATTCCATTATTTTTTTCTGCTGAATAGTACTCCATTGTGTAGATGTACCACATTTTCTCTATCCACTCTTCGGGTGAGGGACATCTAGGTTGCTTCCAAGTTCTGGCTATTACAAATAGAGCTGCTATGAACATAGTGGAACAGACATCTTTGTTGTATGAATGGACATCTTTTGGATATATGCCTAAGAGTGGAGTTGCTGGGTCTTGTGGTAGGTTTATTCCCATTTTTCTGAGGAATCTCCATACTGATTTCCAAAGTGGCTGAACCAGTTGGCATTCCCACCAGCAATGGAGGAGTGTCCCCCTTTCACCACATCCTCTCCAGCATAAATTGTCATTGGTGTTTTTGATTTTAGCCATTCTGACAGGAGTGAGATGGTATCTCAGAGTTGTTTTGATTTGCATTTCCCGGATGGCTAAGGATGTTGAGCACTTTCTCAAGTGCCTCCCAGCCATTTTAGACTCCTCTATTGAAAACTCTCTATTTAGTTCTGCAGCCCACTTTTTAATAGGGTCCTTTGGTGTTTTGGAGACTTGCTTCTTGAGTTCTTTGTAAATTTTGGAGATCAACCCTCTGTCAGATGTGGGATTAGTGAATATTTTTTCCCATTCTGTGGGCTGCCTTTTTGTCTTGCTGACTGTGTCCTTTGCCTTACAGAAGCTTCTCAGTTTCAGTAGGTCCCATTTATTAATTGTTGATCTCACTGTCTGTGCTACTGGGAACAAAATTAGTTTTAATCATCTTTTCAAAACAAAATACATTTATATTGATTGATGAAACAAAACTCAGGTACTAATCGTTACCTTCGTATATTTTACTTTAACAAATATAAGACTCCCTTAATCTTAAAGTCAGGAAATATATAACCCATTGGACTCACTCTAACTATATTTATAAATATATTTTATGTGCCAAGACTTGGGCTGCTATCCAGTTACAGGTACAGATAACTATATACTCAAGTAGGTAAGTAAATAGATGTAAATAGATTATTGCAAAATAGGTTACAACTTTCTTAAGACTAAGATAGTTTAACTTCTAATTATTAATGTTGCAAGTAGAGTTAAAATTCCCACTAACTTTCTAGGCATCTAGCCGGCCATCTAGTAGAGGATTCCAGATTCCCACCTTTGTATGTCTACTTGTGCTGACGGTGGTAGGAATGTTTTATGGGCTTCTTTACAGTTGCTGTTTCTGCATGTTGCATCTGTCCAACCATCCTGCAAATAGAATAATCCATTTTTGAAGGAAACAGAGACATAATCTAATAATAAAAAAAGGTGCTTATAAAATTGTAGCACTGAAACACAGCCAGCATGGAAAACCACAAAGGATATGGTCGGTGGGAGGAGAAAAGGGATCTGTGGTTTAAACCACAAACTTTCTTTTATCACACGTTTTAGAGTTGCCGAAAATTGCAGAAAGCTCTCAGGGAGCCAATGCTCAGCCTTCTCTATTGTTATCTTATTCTCTTTCATTAATGGAGACAGACAGATGTGGAGAAAATAGAAAGGAAAAGCAGGCATGCCGTTTTTACAATAAATGTGTCACAATTGATGACTCAATATTTATGATCATTCCTAATTAATCCCTTGTCCAGATTTTGCCTATTCCTTGCATTTGAAGATTCCCGTGCCTACAGCAAGGCACAGGGCGTTTATCCTTCCTATCTCTTTGGAACATGCTTGGCTGACAGTTTCTTACTCCTTCCTCTGTTTTGAATATTTTGAAAGTTTTGAGACGTGCCGATAATGTATTTCACAGAACGTTCCAATTTGAAATGATCAGGTATTTTTCTCACGATTTCATTTAAGGTATAAACAGTTTGTCATTCTCACCATATCCTCGAGAGGGCGCCAATCATTAGCATGAATATTGCTGTATCTAGTAACTACCTAGCTTTTGTTTGAAGAACTTAGAAAATCTATAAACATTCACGGGAAGGCTTTCCTAAGGCTTAGTTTTTCAAATGAGAAGAGTGATTCTAGAACCGTACCCCAGACTGGTCTTGTTTTATAAACCTATTAAACTGTCTTTTAGAGCAGCTGTTCTTTTCTCTACTGCCAGCTTGAATGATGAGTGAGCCACAGGACATCATCACTTGATTTCAAGAACTTTAATG